GGAATTTTTCCACCCACCCCCATTGGGGTCTGACTGGCCATGGCCTTTGCTGACCCCGTCCTGCCCTCCATCAGCAGCCTGGCTGGCTTCTGCCACTTCCAGGAGAAGCAGTCTGAGATTCTCAAGGTAAGAGGGGCTGGGGGAGGGGGCTGTAAGCTGCCCCCACTCCTGAGCTCTGCTTGTCTTCTCCCCTTGGGAGGGAGGGGTGTGGGCCTGGGTGGGCAGGTGCGGCTGGGCTGCCCGCTAGAAGTGGCTGCACAGAACACAGGTTGTGTTCTTGGGGGCAGGGATGTTTGGAGCCTCTGTTGGTCAAGGCAGGGAAGGGCTTTGGGGGGAGACCTGTTCCTACCCCCCCACTCTGTAGGAAGTGGAGTCCTGCTCTGAGCTCATCAGGGCCCTGGGGGGAAGCAGGGGGCACCTGGCTGCTGGAAGGGGGGGTGGGGACCCCATTTCTGAAGTCCTGCCAAACCCCTGTGTGTGGGGCTCCTGGGGGGCAGGCTGCCTGGGTTCTGTTGCTCCCTCTCAGGAGGGGGAATCCCAGAGTTCACCTTAAAGGAGCTTCCAGCTACTGGTGCCCCTAGATCCCTGCAGGGTACCCCCAGCCTGGGACTCCCTCCCCACCTCTGCTCTGTCTAGTCCCTGGGTCTTAGCTGAGCCTCTGACCTGGGTGTCTCTTGAGCCCAGTGGGGCAGGGCTCAGAGCAGCCCAACTTGCTTCACTTGTGAGCTGCCCCTGGAGGGGGGCCCTGCACGGGAGCCCCAGCCTGGTGCGCGTTCTCCTCCGGGCTCCGCTGAGCGGCTGGATCAGCCCCGTCCCTGTGCGCTGCCAGGCGCTGGTGCGGGGGCTCGATAACTGGTTCCCTTATCTCTGGGCCCCAGCGGGGGGGCACCGTTGGACCCAGTCCCATGGCGGAGGGATGGGGTCTGGGATCAGGGGCGGCTTGTGGTCAGCCGGGGTTTCACTGAATAAACTGAAATAGGGCTGGGACGGGGACAAGACGTGCTTGGCGGAAGTGCGCTGGGCATGGACCCAGGTGTCCTGGGGCCCGGGCTCTAACCACCCGACCCCACTGCCCTCCCGGAGCTGGCGGTGAGCCCAGATGTCCTGGCTCTAACCACTAGTCCCTTCTCTGCATGTTTCCGTTGGCCTGATGGCGCCTGTGGATCTTCTCCCCAGTGGTGGAAGGGGGAAGATGCTCCAGACCCCCCAGCGTCCCGCCCCTTGGACCTGCCCCAGCCCTACGGCTCCCTGCAGCTCAAGCAAGAGGATGAGGAATCCTGCTGGGACCTGGACTTCCTGCTCCGAAACTTCCCCAGCGCGGAGCCGGGGGGCCCCAGCCCAGGTGGGGGGTTTGAGCCTGGCTCCTGACCCTGTCAGCCAGAGGCCTACAAGGGGCCCAGCCTGGGCGAGTACGTGGCAGGGGATGGGCTCCCTGGCCCCACCAGCCTGGTCGCCGAGCTCCTGGCAGAGGACCAACCCCTGGGCTGCCTCTCGGGGCCTCCTGGCTATGCTCGGGGGCAGGAGAAGGGGGGAGCAGGCAGCTTTGGGGGGCACCTCCCCACCTTCGACCCTGTCAGCCAGAGGCCTACAAGGGGCCCAGCCTGGGCGAGTACGTGGCAGGGGATGGGCTCCCTGGCCCCACCAGCCTGGTCGCCGAGCTCCTGGCAGAGGACCAACCCCTGGGCTGCCTCTCGGGGCCTCCTGGCTATGCTCGGGGGCAGGAGAAGGGGGGAGCAGGCAGCTTTGGGGGGCACCTCCCCACCTTCCCCTCCAGGCCGGACTGTGGGACGCAGCCACATGGCGGGTACGGGCAGCCTGGGCCTGTAGCCCTGCGGCACTGCTACCAGC